ATCCTTGTTCCACGCAACTCTCATGTTGTAAGCTTCTTATTTTGACGCTCATAGTCGAAGTTGTTTAGGGGTGATGATATGAGATAAGTTCACCATGTGAACAAAAGGTGAGAGTAACCATTGTGGGCACTTAACCAGACAGTCGAATGTTGCATCTGGTGAGCATAGAGATGCAACCAAAAGGTCGTGCTTGCCTTTCTGCTCCCATGTGAGGAGAGGCAACACGGAAACCAAACAACGGGCACAACATGGCTCAGAACTCGTATCACCTAAAATAGCCTCTACCAGCTAGGTTCCCATAATGCTAAAAAATGACGTGACCAACCAAACAGGCCCTAGAACCTTGCAGCGGTGGCAAGAGCACGATCGAAGGGCGTTCATCAAATGGATGCCTCTAAATGTCTCGAGTTGGGTATGATGACGTGCATAAAAGATCGGTTTATTGGTGGCAACTATAATGCCATCGGTGAGACTGGTTGCCTATCAGACAAGATGAAGTATCACTGAGGGTCGGCTACTCTTGCAAGAAGTTACTCTCATGACTATTTTTCTGCATAAAGTAAAAGGTAAATTCAGGATAACATATTTTAGCAACAATTAACTAGTCTTATTACATAAATAACTCGTCGACTAAAAGTTGCATCAATGTTCTGCTAAATTTGCACACTTTATGATTTGCATTATAATCCATAGATGAAAAATTACAATAGCATTTCCTGGACTACACACTTTCAGTATTGCAATTCTAGATCCAGTAATATAAAATCGTCAATAAGTAGAAAACAAAATAATTTTTAAAAATGCCAAACCTTTTTTTAGGGATGCTAAACCTTTTCATTATGTCTCCAAGAATGCACAAGTCAACCCCAAACAAAAAAAAACTACTAGTTAGACACACATACACCATTTTTTTTTGCGAGGGGATACACACACACAACCTTGGTAAAACAAAGCAACAACTATAAGAGTGGGCCATTTTGGTGACCGGACTCCATGGAGCCTGATTTTTTTAGAAAAATCAAAAATTAAACTTTTTGGTTTAAAAATAATCTGAAAAAATATGCAAGTATACAAGGGCGAAATTTATATGTATGTAAAAATCCAAAATGAAATACCTTGAAATGAGACCTGTCCAAAAAGGCAAATTAATGGACTTTGACCATGAATAGTAGCATGTGCTGAAAAGCCACAAGTTTGTTTTTTCTACACAACCCTCATTTCAACGTATTTTGTCCTGAAAATTTACACATGTACATTATGCCTCCATGTATATCCATATATTTTTAGAATTTTTTGAAACATATAAATATGAATTTTCAAAGTTGCAAATGGAGACCTGCAAAAGCAATTCTCGTAAATATAAAGATAATTTTAGTCCCGATTAAACGACTTCGTAGCTGTGGTCTTATGAGACATGCCTTGGCTGTCGTTGCAAGTCCCCATGGTGGATCGATGTTTTTCTTGTCAAGCAACTATTAGCTTTCCCTAAGATCCCATGGTCGTCGTCTTGCAAAGAGTTGGGTTAGAGTTGACAATCATAGGTAGGTTACAATTGTTAGTTTTATTTGTTCTCTTTCTAGAGTCATGTCTTTCTTACTTTATTTCTTAGTAAGCATACATATATATCTCCTTTGCATGCGCACGATTTCAAAATGTTGAGACTTGTTTTTTCAAGAATGAATTGCCCAGCTTACTCTATCATTTGCCCATCTTTGGTCCATCATTTTTTACTTTTGGATGAACTGGCCAAAACATAAATCTAATATAAGTATCGGAGCCAAGAGCTCTTGAGTTCAAAGCCATATGCCAATTTTTGTATTAAGAGTACTAATATTAGGGGTAGACATGATGGGCAGTGTTGCAATATATTGATCCCATGTGTAAGGCTCGTAACTGATTAGACATGAGGGGTAATGTTGAAGCATATTGTCCGCCCCACAATTGGGTAAGACTTTTGAATGAAGTGACTGGATCATGAATTAGAAAAAAATGCAGATTAGATAGATAGACCTTGCAAGTCGTTCGATATTGTTCTATTATAATAAACAAAACAAAGTGACGAGTCCTTTTGAAGTTCTTCTTTTTAGCCGAATCCTTTTGGAGTTGGACACGGCATGTTGCTTGCGGGGGAAAACCCACTCTGCCCTTCTCACTCCTGTCATCCTGTGCGTGACTTCGATTTGAAATGACCTGACCTGACGCGTGCGCACGCATAAACAAACACGGACCGGTCGAGATGAAGCATCAACTAGTAGCCAGAAGACTTGTAGACTCGTGGAAGTTGAGTCCTAGAGTAGACGACGTAGCTTGGGCCCGACATGAGCCGCGAGCCGTGGCGACCGGGACAACGCGGCGAGCAGCACGGGTACGGTCTACTCCACCAGAGACATCTCACATGTGCCTACGCCCGACGAGTGGCTGGCCTGCCGGCGGCGGCTCGTCGCGTTGCGTCGGCAGTCGGCGGCAGCGATAAGAAGTCAACTAGTGCGAACGGTGGTGTACTTGCCGCATGTTTTTCATGTTAAAACATGCCCAACATATTTTTAACCCCCTCTCACTCCCACTCCCACGTCCTCGCCCCTCAGCTCTCTAGTGTTTTGTTAACGAGCAAACCCGTGTTTGGATGATTAAAAGGATACTGGTATCCCAACTCATCAGGGTTCAAGTCCTAAATTTAACATTGGTGCTCACATTACTCCGAGATATATTTCAGACTTCCAGCGATGTTCGTTCAGTGAGAGGAGACGTTCCCGTCGACTGCGAGGCGTCTGTGGTGACTTCGTAAAGTCTCAAGATGCTATGCCGGCTTAGTCTCTCGGTGATGCTCATAGAGTCATAGGGGTGTGCATGCGTGAGTGCATTCATAGAGGTGAGTATATACTTGTGTATGTGAGCGACTTCGATCGTATTGTGTTCAAGCTATCTATTGTTTCTTTTACTCTGGGTTTCTCCTATGTGGCGTCACTCAACAAGAAAATAGGCATGACCCACATGCCATAGTCTTCTCCATCTCTTCTTGCTTAGTGCTCTCTTTTTGGATTCTCTTCCCACCACCGACTTCTCCGTGCCAGCCGCCAGGGATATCTCACCTCTATCGCCTCCCAGCCCTCGACTCCGTCGCCATATTGCTGTCACTTGACGGGAGGGGGGTGGGAGTCGGTGCACTTCGCCAAGCCAGGAGCACACCTTCGCAGGCGCTCACTTGTGTGCACCGATCCGATGCCACCCTGCGTACAAATTTCAAAACCATACGGTTGTCCATACTAGGACAGCATCCGATGCACCTTCCGTTGACAACGCGCAACCATTCGGCCCTCATAGGCATTCAACTCTTTACAACCGTCTGGCACTGCATTGTCGTCCAATGCCAAGTTGCTATATTTGTCCCACTCTTCGGCAGCGACCATCAGGGGCAATGGGATTGAGCTTGCAACTGCAGGAGCCATCCTTGGGTATCTTGCGACTAGGTTGCGTGTGCTATTGCTCGGCTGCCTTTGCTGGACGTTGCTCCTGACTCGTCCGGATCTTACGTGCGTTGGGATGCTAGGACTTCAACTCCTGTTGTCGCTGGCCAACGGCCACGATATATGTTCCCCGCTTAGCGAGAGGGCAAAGGGAAGAGGGAGAAGGGATTTGGGCGGGGAAAGAGACGGGAAGAATATGACATGTTTGGTTGTATCCGTTTTCTAGGTGATGTGGCGCCACCTAGTTCAGAACCAGTCAAAACACATAGAGGGTTGTCTTTTAAATGGTTTTGAGAGTTGAGGGTGGGACTTCAACCAAACTGAAGTTAAGGGTTGTAATATGAACTTAGCCATATTTTTTCCCTTTCTATTTTCTTTTCCGATTATTTTCTTTTAGATTTTTATTTTTTAATAAAAAAATCAGTTTTTGAAATGTTCTGAACTTTTTAAAATGCCCGCATCTAAAAATATTCACAATTTTTAGAAAATGTTCACATTTTCGAAACATATTCAGAAATTTCAAAACACTTTTCTGATTTTTTAAATCACTTCTTTAAACTAACTAATTTTTAAAAATAATTTTATAAAAGAAAAATTAAACTCTGAAAACCCCAATGAAAAACAGAAAGAAAGTAATCGCGGGAAACCTTCCTTAGAGTTGCTTTTAGAATTGGGCCTCCGCACGCACGTCGACTTGTGCTTTTAGAATTCTCGAAACAAGGCCGATCTGACTGAAACTCAAATAGGGTTACAACACAGGCCCACAAGATAGCAAGCCCATCCTTCTATATATCGCATCCTCGCCACCTCCACCTCCCACCTCTCCCCTCTCTTTCCCTTCGCACAATCCCGGCGTCGGCGGCTGCGGCGGAACCTCCCCGGCGATCACCGGACTCACCCCGGCAGGTAACGCGCTCTCCTCCCTCCCCCCCTGTATCCGCGTGCCCGCGAGAGCGTTCGTTCCTACGCGTGCGTGTGCTTGCGCGGTCTTTCGCCGAAAACCCTAGGTCTCCAGCGCGGGCTTGGATCCCCGGCGTATTCGGCGGGTTCCTTGCGGGTCCTCCCGGGGCAATCCCGCCAGCTAGAAATATCGAATCTTGCCTCAGAGAGGCTCGCTACGCTGTTCATGTTACGCTGTCCATGGGTCATCACGCTGAATCAACTGTACTAGATGTGGCAATAGATTGGTTGACGCCGCATTGTCTGGAACTTGCCACAGAGTTTGTTCGATTCTTTGTATTGAAAGCCATAGAAAAGTTTCTTATGTGCTAACTTGCATGCAAGTCCGCAGGAAATTTTGCGTTGCCTTCATGACAGCTTGACAAACACCTAATATTTCATCAAGAAAATTCATGTATTAATCCTGTGGTGCGACCAAACAGCTTATAATATTAATTATTATCTTCTTCAGTGTTTTCAATCTAATGACTTTACATGCCATAGCATCCAACTCCTACATTATATAACCGTCTCTGTGTTTTTGGGATCCTCAAATCAAAGAGGGCCGTAACATGAGATGTAATTACAGGCAAAGCAATGAGGAGGTACAGTCCCCAATATCGGAGCCCCCCAAGGAGGGGATATGGTGGCAGAGGCAGAAGTCCCCCGAGGAGGGGATATGGAGGACGGAGGGAGCAGGGTTCAGGAAGCCTCTTGGTCCGCAACATCCCATTGAGCTGCAGGTAGGAAAACTGTGACATGGATACAGCTTTCCCGATGACTTAGTTTTCATGAAAGAAGAATATTTCACTTTGTAAGGTATTGACCTTAGTTTTGTTCTCTTATCTGTGGCAGGCCGGAGGATCTACGGGTTCCTTTTGAAAGGTTTGGTCCTGTTCGGGATGTGTACCTGCCAAAGGATTATTACACCAGGTAGGTTTTATGTATCCCCGTAATTTATTTGCAATTGGCAAACAATTTTTGGCCTTGTTTTCCATGTTAATATGAAATATAGAAAAAAAAGGACTTTGAACGCTTATCTACATTGTTGTTGCATAAGATTGGTAATCCCAGTTTTTTTATGAAGAGATGTTGTGAGCATATCTTTCAGATTTGGTGTGATTTCGGTTGCAACCATGTTTGTGCATTAACGTTTAGGCCCAATGAAAATGCTCTAGTCACTACAGTCTGCTCATGTGTGGAAATGCTTATATTACCTTGTCTTGCGTATTCATCCATGCCCTATGATAGTTTCTTTTTCTGAAATAATTGCCAGGGTAGTATTGGTTTGATGCAAGTACAATCCCTTGATTTGTTGAAGAATGTTTTTTTATATTCCTAACAATTCATTTGCTTGGCAAGATAGAGTCTTGTCCGAATGAAGAAGTTCTTCTATGAAGACAAAGATTTGATTTGAGAAAATTAGTTTCGTGAAGAGAAGATAAAGAGAGTTGTATTGGGTAGTCCATGAGAAGATTAAATGAAGCGAAGTTCATTTCAAGTACTTTTCAGACTTTTCAAACATTGAGGAACTTGAAGCGAATGATTTTACGAAGATGCTCTTTATGAGGATCACCGTACTTAGTCATTACACAAGAAATTTGTACAAGAAACTTGGATACTAGGGCCTGGACATATAGCTGTGTTTTGCAACACTTGCTTCATGTTTGATGGGAAATGTGTGTAAGTTGTTGACTGTGCTCCGTCAAGAATCATAGAGGGCATGCTGCATTTGAACTGTGATGGTAACATGAGAGGCCCACACACTCTATGAATACTTCATGCCCTCTTTCTTGTCTGTTATCCCATTAATTTCATTTATCCTACTTTGTCTAATGTAATCGTTATACACAGGGAGCCCCGAGGGTTTGCATTTGTGGAGTTTGTTGACCCTTATGACGCCTCTGATGCACAATATCACTTGAACCACACAGTATTTTGTGGCCGAGAGATAACTGTTGTTGTTGCTGCCGAGTCACGGAAAAGGCCAGATGATATGCGTAATAGGGCTAGAATCAGGTATGGTATTCCATTCCTGTGAAATTCTTCCTTATCTCATGTTATGTGCTCATTTGAACTGGTTGCTTTGCAGGGGGTATTCTGGTGAACCTGAAAGGCGCCATTCCCGTTATGGTACTTTCTTATCATTAATGTTGTATGATTTGCAGTCCTGCATGCTCTGAAATGCTAATCTAGAATTCTGAAAGCTTCGTTCTATTAGGCTGTTTATCTATCCCGGTTTAGACCTTGCAATTGCATGTAGATAGAACAATTTATATCTTTTTGCGGAGAAGAATGCATTATCTCTGCTACACCTAACAGGTTGCAACTTGCAACCCTGCAGTTGCAGGAAATTATTTATTTGTTCTTAGCATTCATATAATTTTTCTTTTGCATAGCATGTGATTTTGGATCATTTTGCACCCTCTAGTTAAGTAAACATTGAGTACCTTGCGAAGAAACATCAGTTAGATGGTAACTGCCTATTGCAGATTGCAGAGGGGTGAAATCTGCAGTTTACTGTGTTTTGGATATTTCAAATTATGTATCAGATTATTTTTCCTGCAGTACCAGTTACCAAATTATTTATGTCCACACGAATTTCAGGGAGGTCTCGTTCCCGTTCACGCTCTTGCTCTCCTCGCTATCGGGGCCGTCCTCAATCAAGGTCAAGGTCAAGGTCAAGGTAGGGCAACAGTAGGTCAAGTATTTTTGCTTGTCATGTGACATACCTAAAGCTACTCCCCTATCATTCATGAATCCATCCACTCTCTGCTAACTATTCCTTTTATTTTTCTAAAGGTCATACTCTCCTGCTCCAAGACGGCGAGGTGACTACTCTGCTTCCCCACCAAGATCACATCACACACAGTCTCCTAGGCGTCTGCCAAAAGGGCATGAAGAAGATAAGCGGAGATCCTATTCTCCTGCTGGTAGAGGCGGCGGCGAGCGTGATGCTGATACTAATGGAAAGTAAGTTCTATTTTGTTGTGATAGTAATGGGTATTCTAGGCTTCTAGTGTTTCAAGTTTACCATGTAGCTCTGTCTTTACTGCTTCATGAACTCCATAGATAATTGTCAGCACCAAGTTCTAGTGTTGCGAACGAATAATGTATTCTATATGCCTCTATCTACCTCTCCCGCTTCATAAACTCCGGAGCTAATTTGCCAGCACGTGGAATTCTTGTTGTGTGTTCCTTTTGCATGCCTTTGAGCAAGAGCATGAGCTTTTCATTTAGAGACCAGGAAGTGCTGGATCCACCTTTATTTTCCTTTAGTAACAGCTGCCCTCATCTCCTTTAGCAACTGCTTTTGCATGCCAGATCGTCTGTAATGCACGCCGCAGAGTTTCCCTATGAAATTCTAGCCAAGCCGCATCTCTTTAATTTTTGCTCGAACCCAGCGTCTCTGTACATCAACTACATACATTTATTTTTGTCCGTTACATCTGGAACATGCATATTCTCATACAAGGCCCTAGAGTAAACCTGCGGTCATTATAGTGAAAGCTATTCTCATTTGCTCTGTGTTCGCAGGAGGTCGCCGCCGCCATCTGACATTGACGGATCACCTCCACCACCCCGTAGGTCACCCAGGCAGTCCTCGGGATCACCCGTGGGGTCGCGCTCAAGGTCCCCCGAAGCTTCTCCTGCCCGCAGCGACTGAGAAAATTGGCGCCTCCCAGGAGCGGCGTGGCCATGTACTCTACCTCTTAGCTACATTGTCTGAGTAAAACCCATCTGGGCTGTGTTGGCTAGTGTTGCGGTGCCTCTTTAGTTAGCAGAAGATGTGACTGGTTGGCTGTTCGTTCGCTGCTTGGTGTTGAACCTTGTACCATGGTAGTGTTTTAATGTGAACCGAGCCACAACTGAGCCACAATTGTGATTGGATTTGTGATTTTAAATGCATTCTGAATGCCTTTAACTTGCTCCACGAACAGTTTCTCTAAAAAAAGATATAAGTATAGAAATGCATTCATTTAAGATTGTGATACACAATGCTATCGGATCTTAGAAGAGTTCATTTTTTTTTTGTTAGAATAAATATTTTGTTTGGAGGTAGGAAACTTGATATATTGATGGCGGGTTGATCTGCGTGGATTTCACCTGGCCGGAATTCAACCCCGGTCTGCCCTATCGGCGCCTTTGGTTAAACCCGGTTTGGTTTGTTAGAGCAACTCTAGCAGACCCCGCATTCCGCCCACTTGCAAAACTCGTTTGCAGTTCATGCAAAACCATTTTTGCGGGTCGGCGCGGGCTGGCACAGATGCAGACCCCGCATAATGGACCCGTAAAAAAACCATTTTTGCGGGTCGGCTTTTGTGGGTTCTGATCTGGCGCGGCTCCTCCCGGCCCGTAAAACTTAGATTGATAATAGTATAATGCTTTTCTTTGCTTTTGTAGCAACATTAGATACAAAATATATCACCAAATCTTGGCTAGAATAGCAAAACCAAAGAAAATAAGAACCACAAGTATGCATTTCAGAAGATTTCCAACTTCCATAACTGCTCCCACTAGTTGAAGCAATATCTTCTCCATGCACTCATTGTTGATCTGCGGATTCTTGATCTTACTTTGTTCATTCTTGATCTTGCTTTCTTCATTCTTCATCTTTGGTTTCAAAGAAGTAGGCGTTGCTTCCTCTCTAGTTGCACATACAGCGGCATCATTGCCTTCGATTGTACTAAGGAGTGCACTAACATCTATTAAGTTTCTTTCTATCAACAAATCAATGTATTGGCCTTTCCAAAACCAAAATGAGCATCCATCCTCCTACACAAAAGATTGAGCAAGCTCGAAGTGAGATACCGTAGTTGAACTAAAGAATGAGATATGGAACGAGCTACCACAAGTGCACGTACCCTATCGTTTTCGCATTTGTAGAACACCCATCCGGGGTGCTTCGGCGTGCCCGAAGTGAGCCGCAGGACTTGGTACGGGCAGTCGTCGTACTCTATGAGCGGCATCGGCAGGCCACAAAGACGTTGCGTGAGCGCCGAGCCCGGTGGACGGCCAGACGAGTCCACGCCCGCAAACCTTCGGCGGCGGCGGGCGGACGAACCCGCGCCTGCATGCGGCGATGCGCCCTTGCCTGGGCTGCGGGAGAGGCTCCCCGACCACTCCATCGCCTGGGGCAGCAACCGGCGGTCGGAAAAGGCCAAATTCGGCGGCCCGCGATGAAGTGCCGCAGATCTGCAAATCCGGCCGCCCGCCGACGCAGGGGGGAAGGGAAGGGAGGCCTCGTGCGCGTGGAGGCCTTCAGGCGTGCTCCTGCCGGCTGCTGTCACCGAAA